TCTTTGCCAGAAGCTCAAGGAAGCAAGGTGAATGGTTAGAGTTAGGACCCACCTGGGGGGATCTGCCTTGATGTTGGCAGGCGGGCTTATCCTCTCATGGCCATTGGAGGTAACTAAAAACCTCCATTTGTTTAAAAATACATAGGGATTAAGGAGACAGCGCAGGTAACATGTTTTTCTTTAATTTAGTAGATATACCTCCAATGAAATCATGCATGCTTTTAATGATTCGTTTTTTAATTAGGGATATATACAAAAGCAGCTTGCAAAAGCTGCAAATCTCTTGTCTGCAGCCTTTGCAAACCTCACTCTTCTAACCCAGTCCAGACCTTCTGTTGCTGTCCAATCATAGACTTTCCAATGCAACTCAATGAGGTCTTTGCAAGGCAGGTGTTTTGGGCAATTGCCTGCCTCTTTAGTTTAGATTCACTGAACTAAACAAACCAGGAAGTAACTGAACCAGTTGTCGGATTGATAGCCAGGGAGGTGTAACACATTTAATTTGTAAAAATGTACATTTCTATTAAAATCTGCACTTTTTGTAAAACAGAAAAAAAGAGGACTAACTCTTAACACCAAGGCTGGGGACTTTTGGCTGCACAGACGAAGATGCATTTTGTCACACACACACACACAACTCCACAAAAAAAAAATCATCTTCGTCTGTGTTTCTTTTAACCAGTGTTTTGAATTTCTTACACCCTTTTGTATTTCTTATCATTTCTTTTTATAGTCTTATCTATTTTACAAAACAAGGAAGTATAAGCGCTATTTGAGTATAAAATCTTAAAATTATATATAATCTAAACAGCTGCTAACCACCGTGAAAATCTTTTACAGAGTGATAGAGAATAGTAAGTGGTACCGGTGTAGCGCTTATGTGCAAAATTGAATATGAAAGGAAGTTTTACCCAATTTTCTTCTATGTTAGTCAATTATTTCTTATTAACCTTAAGGTAAAACAGAGAAAAAATACATAACATAGTGCAGATTGTATGTAAATATATAAAAATTGATTTAAAACAAAAGCCAAATGGCAACTCACAATTTTCTGAGCTATAAATCTAGCTCAGAATTTTGGTGCTTTAGGATCCGTATAGGCGACCCTCTCCCTTCTTCTCCTTTCTTTAGTCCAGTCCTATATGGATACAGGAGGGGGTATATAGTGTAGTATAGTTGATGTTATTATGGGTATATAAAAGTGATAAATGAGGTACTCACAAACCCAGAGCCAGTCTATAGGCTCACTTCAATGCGCATATGTGGTTTTAGGACCACACTCCTTCTTTATATTAGCAGGAAAAAAGCCATAAGTGTATCAAAATGTATGTATATTTATTATAAATTTTTTTTACACATTATAAAAAATATATATAAAAAAATAAATAGAAACACTTATAAGGCTTAATAGAGTCCAGTAAAGTCCAAAAAAAGGAGTTTCAGTGCTCACTTTTCTTTCCAGAACGCGTTTCGCCAGGTGGCTTCTTCAGCTGGTTAAATTCAGTGATTCAGTGACATCACTGAATTTAACCAGCTGAAGAAGCCACCTGGCGAAACGCGTTCTGGAAAGAAAAGTGAGCACTGAAACTCCTTTTTTTGGACTTTACTGGACTCTATTAAGCCTTATAAGTGTTTCTATTTATTTTTTTATATATATTTTTTATAATGTGTAAAAAAAATTTATAATAAATATACATACATTTTGATACACTTATGGCTTTTTTCCTGCTAATATAAAGAAGGAGTGTGGTCCTAAAACCACATATGCGCATTGAAGTGAGCCTATAGACTGGCTCTGGGTTTGTGAGTACCTCATTTATCACTTTTATATACCCATAATAACATCAACTATACTACACTATATACCCCCTCCTGTATCCATATAGGACTGGACTAAAGAAAGGAGAAGAAGGGAGAGGGTCGCCTATACGGATCCTAAAGCACCAAAATTCTGAGCTAGATTTATAGCTCAGAAAATTGTGAGTTGCCATTTGGCTTTTGTTTTAAATCAATTTTTATATATTTACATACAATCTGCACTATGTTATGTATTTTTTCTCTGTTTTACCTT